TTTTTTTTAATGGGTTTTTCACAAGCTATTGTGCTTATGTTTGTTGTTATAGATTTTGAGAGAATATGGCTTCAACCTTTGCTGCCTTGTCGTCTGTTGGTTCTGTTACTTCAACCAGTGCCCATGTAGCAGATAAAAAACTGGCAAACACATATGAGACATTATCTTCATTTGGATCCATATCTTCCAGTTCATCTCGAGTGAAGAGTAAAAATGTAGTTCTGCGGAAAAGGTGTAATCTTAAGGTTCAGGCTTTGGCCAAGGACTTGCACTTTAACAAGGATGGTTCTGCAATTAAGAAGCTGCAGGTGAGTTTTCACATTAAATTGGCAAGATAGTCTCATTTCGTGGAATACTTTTCAGTTAATATCCAGTTTGTGTTGCTGCAATTCCTTACTTTTGCTACTTTTCCATTTTAGGCTGGTGTTAACAAGCTTGCAGATTTGGTGGGTGTCACCCTTGGTCCAAAAGGAAGGAATGTAGTTCTTGAGAGCAAGTACGGCTCTCCAAAAATTGTTAATGATGGTGTAACTGTAGCTAAAGAGGTATATAATGCTGACCATTTGAATCTGTATATAAGAATGATGCAATATGATCATTTTGATGGTTTTGATTTTTAACTTCAAGTTCAACGCAATCCGAATGTTCTTTGTAGGTTGAATTGGAAGACCCTGTGGAGAATATTGGTGCTAAATTGGTGAGGCAAGCTGCTTCAAAGACAAATGATTTAGCTGGTGATGGGACAACTACATCTGTTGTACTTGCACAGGGTATTATCACTGAAGGTGTTAAGGTTATTTATATTAAGGGCACTCTCTTGCAAATATTTAATGCACTATGTCCGAGCTTTGAATGAGTGTTTCTGACTTGACTTTTTTGGTGCTGATTTGTTCAGGTTGTGGCAGCGGGTGCCAATCCTATTCAGATTACAAGGGGTATTGAGAGGACAGCTAAAGCCCTGGTGTCTGAGCTTAAGTCAATGTCAAAAGAGGTAAACTTGAATCCTCCATCTGCCTATCTTACTGCACAGATTGCAAAATTCTTATTTTTCTGTATTTAGCCCTTAAAGTAGAGGCAACTGTATCTGGCATTTTTTGTTGATGGTATGTTAAGTTTATCTTGGTGGGACATTCCTTATTTTTCTTGTAATTGATGCAGGTTGAGGATAGTGAGCTAGCTGACGTAGCTGCGGTTAGTGCTGGAAATAATTACGAAGTGGGAAATATGATTGCAGAAGCTATGAGTAAAGTGGGCAGAAAAGGTGTGGTGACTCTTGAAGAAGGGAGAGGTTCTGAGAACAATTTGTATGTTGTCGAAGGCATGCAATTCGACCGTGGTTATATTTCTCCATACTTCGTCACAGATAGTGAAAAGATGGCTGTTGAATATGAAAATTGCAAGGTATTTACAATGTCTTTGAGATGATCCTTCTTTCTGTTATATAGGTTGGATCCAG